CCTAGCAACAACATGCCTAGAAACAACATACCTAGCAACAACACGCCTAGAAACAACATACCTAGCAACAACACGCCTAGAAACAACATACCTAGCAACAACACGCCTAGCAACAACACGTCTAGAAACAACATACCTAGCAACAACACACCTAGAAACAACACACCTAGAAACAACACGTCTAGAAACAACATACCTAGCAACAACACACCTAGAAACAACACACCTAGCAACAACACGTCTAGAAACAACATACCTAGCAACAACACGCCTAGCAACAACACGCCTAGCAACAACATACCTAGCAACAACACGCCTAGAAACAACACACCTAGCAACAACACGCCTAGAAACAACATACCTAGCAACAACACGCCTAGCAACAACACGCCTAGCAACGACATACCTAGCAACGACATCTTAAATTTATATACATATATATATTAATAAAATTCAACATTAAACATTAATTGTAAACGAGAAAAAATTGAAATATAAACCTAAAAATATATATAAATTCATATATATTCCTAAATTATATATATATTATTCAGATTTAACTTTCAAAACCGTAATGCGTATCATATTGTACTACCACAGTGCGAGTAAAGTGGTCACAACGATATATGTATATTTACAATGTAATATTGGCAAATTTGCATTGCCCAAGTTATCGTGAGGCGGGGGTGTTACTGTAGACAAACCGTACATGCAGTGCACGACGACTGGCTTCAACAGGCTCCTCTGCTGCTTGTAGTATTTCTGAACCTCTGTGATGAAGTACAGCAGTGAAGCCGGGCTGCCGGGCACTCCCCTGCAAACCACATAACATCGATAAGTTAGATCTCACTCGCCAATATTAGATAGGTTAGAAGCCACCCGCCCGAAACAGCAGACCAATAGGGTTTCCGACGCTGACGACAATGTAAAAGATGGTTTCCCTGCAAACCACACACAGATAGGTTACACGATACACCGATAGGTTACACGATACACCGATAGGTTACATGATACACCGATAGGCTACATGATACACCGATAGGTTCCATGACACACCGATAGGTTATACAATACACCGATAGGTTCCATGATACACCGATAGGCAAGATGCCACCTGCCAATGATACATGAGTAGGATGACCACTAACGACAACAACGTAAAAACTGTAACCAATCAATCAAGGGAATTTATTTTAATGATTATTTACGAAATATTAAAACGATAAGTGCAACTTTCTTATAGTAATTATCCGATGAAATAAATATTTACCCTATGATATAAAAGCTGGCCAGGATCAAGATAATTTTAACGATCATAAAACAAAATTAAACATTTATTTGAACAAAAATAATGCTCTATTGAGGAAATGAAATCAAGAGCAGATTTCTTGATGTTAAACTTACGTTGATGGCCAGTCGGTGAACTGTAAATGAACTATGGATCTTGTCTGCCGCGTCTGCAATAGACAAAAACAGAAGATACATATTCAAGTATGAGAAATGGAAGTTTCGAAAAATATCCTAATAGCTAAAGCAACATTTTACAAGTAAGATTACTTTTGTTTTACCCTATACCTATATAAAGTAAAAAAGTCCATTATCAGCTAGTAAATTCTCAATTCTGGCTAATTTAAAGCCGACAGCAATTTAAACAAGAGACTATCTTCTTCTAAAGTCAGACTGTCAGCTGCCAATGTCACACGAAGGTTGCACAAGGACCGAAACAATACAAGGAGGCAAGCAGAGGCAAACTTTCAAAATCAGTTCTATTTTCTTACGCGTCTTTACAACTCATCAGCTTCAACCTTAAAACCCTCTAGCAGACCTGCCAACCTGTGATTCATGAAAATAGTAAGGCTTTTCTTTTCTTGCAGCAGGCGGCCATTTTGTTTGTATGTTATGTGCGCAATGAATGATGGGACTAACTCTAGATCACACGAGAACAACGTGAATGCGTGATCCAATATGGCTGCGCCCACAATCGCCAGATATTTCTCGGCTCACAATGTAAACAAGTGCCGCAGAGCGACAGCGCTCATCTAACGTCTACTGCGGTGACTCTGT